TTCTTTTTCTTTACTCCTCTTCCCAATAGGTTCGGCAAGGACCATACCCGCCGGCTGTGACAAGAAAAAATTGTTAATGACAAACAGACAAACAACGCAAAAAACAGGGGAGGGAGGGAGGGGACTAGTTACCTTGCCGTTAAATTTAAGATGGCTGAGGTAGCAGACAAAATGTCACCTATTTATATGACCCCACCCTACTCCTTAGCTAAATCACACACCCATACTTCCACCACACCCACACATGCCTCCTATCCGGCTAGCTTTCAGCCCGCCTCCTCTGGGCCTTGTGTGTAGGTAGCGGTTATCGTGTGGTGTGAACCATAACAATCCCCAAAATCGCTCAATTCCCCCCCAATCAAACTAGGAAACGTATATGTGGTATAAAAAGGCCACAGCTTTATTTATAAATTAACAAACAACTGTAAATAAACCAACCATAAATAATTTAGGTGTAAGTATGCTTATCTTCAAACTAGTCCTTGCCAACCGTACTACCAAAACTCTAGGGTACACCCCCCACCAAGGCATCGGCCCTCCCCCCTCGTCCAAGATACCTGGCCTTCACTTTGGCCTTCAAACTCCACATGCCAACCCCTGGCCACCTTTCCTGGCACGGAGGGCACGCCCAAATGCCCAAAACATTTTCGAGGTCAGGGGAGGGACCCGACCCAGCATCTTTCTTTTTCTTTACTCCTCTTCCCAATAGGTTCGGCAAGGACCATACCCGCCACTAGCCCCAGCTGCATTTACGCCTAAATCAGCGGGCGCGACCCCCAAGCAACGCCATGGCCTGTTCCAACGCGTCCTGTAGCGCTAAATTAAATAAGTCCAAGCCTACGTCAGTTAGATGGACCCGTCCGGGCGAAAATAGATTGCTGCCTCGCGCTCAAAAATACGGTGTCGCACTGTTAAGCCCCCGACGCCTAGGACAAATTTGGAAACCCGCTTATTAATCTTGACCCTGCAGCGCTCAATAGCACCCTGATCGCGTGCGCACTTCCAATAGTTCCTAGAAACGATATCCGACCATATTAAACAAAGTCGTGGAAAAAGCACACGCAAGCGCGCCAAATCTCGCCTGATGAGTTCCCCCAGCCCCCACGCAGGCAGGGACCCCAGATCGTTCCCCCCCCCGATGCACCACTAAGATGTCCGGGGCTCCTAATAAAGTGGATAACTGCACGACCTCCGGTAATAGCTGACCCCATCTCATGCCCCGGAACCCGAACCACCGGACTTCCGCCAGCTCCCGAGGTATTCCGAGCCGTGTCCCACCCGGGCGTACCCCAGCCCGCAGGTGAGCCCAGTAGATGTACGAATGACCGATCAACCAGATCCGTCGGCCAGGCCCTGTGGAGAAAACACAAGGGGGACACCGATCAGACGTGTGGGCCGTACATAAGACCGAAACCTCCCCGATTCCCATCTGCCAATCCTCTGAATGGCCTGGTCCAAAAAACCTAAACGGGAGGCTTCAGTTGCGGCCCCAATTCGAAAAGAATGTCCCCCAAAGTCTGTACTCGAAATACCCAGTTGGTCGAGTGCCAACCGAAAGACCCGAAGAAATTGGAACCGAGAAAGGAAGGAACCGTCCCCATGAATTAGTAGAGGGCCCTCAACGTCCGGGCGACCAAGACAATAAGACTGAAAAGATGCGACAGGGCAGACAGCCGAACCCGGAATAGTGCGGAGGGTAACCCATGCCCCTTTGCCGAAGATGTCGGTTTTGGACCTTCGTACCAAAAACGCACTGAATCCGACACCACAGACACATCGTTGAACAACAAGCCCCCCGGGATCCGTTTGCTAGGGCTCACAAGCTCACCGATTCGAAGGGCGCCGAAAAAGGCGAAAGTAAAAGCCAACTGGAACAAACGTGCCTCCGAATCTGAAAAACAAACCCTGGGTAAGACCGACGCAATGCCTACTAGCAGAGCGCCAGAAACCGGCCTCCGAGAATCCCGCAGGTGTGGGCCCCTGCGCCAGCCGCGCATCGCAAGTCGAACCATGCAGTCCTTGGTAACGTCAGGCACCTTAGTCAAGTTGAACCAGAAACTAAGACCGGATAGCTTCCCTGAAACCGTAGCCGGAGAACACCCGCTAGCCTCCCAGAACCAGAGCAACCGTAAGATCCCCTGAACCCTTGCAGAGGTCGAATCAAACCCACGAAGGTCTTGTTCCAGAGCAACCCAGTCCCCCCATGCCTTACCGTACCGAACCCAAGTTGCCTCAGACACCGAAGACCGAATCCATTCCCTTATCCGCTCAGGCCAAGGGACCATAAGTCTCTGGGACAGGGGAGGCCTTCCGTGTCCGCTTCCAGCGCGGCCAAACGAAACACCTGCCAGTGGAAACGAGAAAGAGCATCAGCCGTGGTATTCTCCACACCAGGGATATGCACAGCGCGGCAAGTCACATTAAAAGACAGACATTGTAAAACCAAGCGCCGCAAGAGCCGAACTACAGGAGGGGAGGAGGCCGTTAGCCTATTAATGGCCTGGACAACGCCCAGGTTGTCACAGTGGAACACAACACGCCTGTTCTTGATCTCTGGTCCCCAAAGATGGATAGCCACCACAATGGGGAAGAGTTCCAAGAAAGCCATGTTCTTGGTCAGGCCAGAGGTGAACCACGATTCGGGCCAGGGCTCCGCACACCATTGCCTTCCCATGATAGCCCCAAAGCCCGAAGACCCCGCGGCATCCGTAAACAGGTGCAGCACCGAGTTCGTCACCTCGGGCTGCTTCCAGTAGGACCTGCCGTTGTACCCATCCAAAAAGACTGCCCATACTGCCAAGTCCTCCCTG